CTTATTATGTATAACTTTCTTAATCTGTATACTGTGTAGGAATGGAAATAGCTTTTCAGAGGCAATATAGAAAAGTAGCTTACAATGTTATCTATGTCACAAATCAAATTGGAATGAAACTTGTTCCAATATAAACTTTAAAAATCCAAAGCTGGAAGTTGACTGAACAATATATTTAAGTTAAAGGAAAAAAGGCATAAAGTGTAAAATTAGGCATAGCCAGAAATGAATTGTATTTAGAATTATAGAATAACAGCCCCTTGAATTCAAGTAACTAAGAAAGGTATTGTAACATTTAACATTCATACTATATGATCAAAGTCTGAAAGATTGCAAATGATTAATCCATAAAAAGTTATACTTTGAAAGCCCTAAAGGCAGTATCACCTATGAAAATTGAAGAGTTTTCAGTGTTTTACAGCTTGATTCTTTCCAAAGGTATGTATTGATAGAATGTATTATTTCTTCTTTTTACTACTAAATAATTGGTAAGACCTGGACTTGTTTTAAATGTCATAACATTTTAAAATACATGTACCCATTTAAAAATCCTTCTTAAAGACCTTTAAAATATAGTTTGTCTTAAGTTGTACTTGTGATCCGAATGACTTATGTGATATTGGCATTGTAAGTACCTAGTTAGTGCTTAGAATGGGATGTGTAGATGATTTAAGTTCAGATCTTCAGGCTATTTCTTTTTCTTTTTTTTTTTTTAAGACAGAGTCTCACTTTCATGCCCAGGCTGTAGTGCAGTTTCAACATCTTGGCTTACTGCAACCTCTGCCTCCTGGGTTCAAGTGATTCTTCTGCCTCAGCTTCCCTAGTAGCTGGGATTACAGGCACCCGCCATCATGCCCGGCTAATTTTTTTATGTTTGTAGAGAGGGGGTTTCACCATGTTGGCCAGGCTGCTCTTGAACTCCTTACCTCAGGTGATCCACCTGCCTCGGCCTCCCAGAGTGTTGGCGTGAGCCACCGCACCCGGCCAACGCACTGTTTCTTATATCATAGGTTACTATGGCTATGAGTGCAGAATATTATTTGCCTTATTTTGAGTAAATATCTCATCGTTGTATGAAGCTTCACAAGCATTTTATTAGGTATGTCTTTGCATAAAGATCTAGACTCTACAGAAAGAAAGTTGAATAGATACAATGCTTGCTCACTACAAACTTCTTGAAAGCCAATACAATATATTGTAAGAAACGTATAGGAACAAAAAAACTGTGGCACCAATGCAATGCAGTGATTTCTAAGTGCATCTGGTTCAATTATGGTGGAATTTGGGAATGTTGTACCATGCAGAGGTTTGATTTTGCCACAAGAGTTGGCAATCTGTTTGCATGCCTTGTCATAAATGACTCCAAAATCTCAGAATTGTTCTCGTGACATTTTATAGTATTATATTTTTTTTATGAATTCTAAAATACCTACATCATCTTCTTCCTATAATCCTGTGATGCAGAGATATCATTTTAGATTTTGAGTTGCAGAAACAAGCCTCCATCGACAGTGTTTGCTAGTAATTTGGTGCTTGTGCTGGGCCCGGAACCTTCATGTCCCTGCTATGTTCTGACACCAGACCATACTGAAATAGCAGCAGTCATGAGTCATGACAGGGGTGTTCACATCTGACTACAATATGGAGGGTCTTCCATTCATTTTCATTGTGGATTTCCATGAAAAGAGATTTATTATAGATGTTTTCTTTCAGCCATTTGAATTTACCAAGTGTAACTTTTAAAAATTATCATTGAAAATATGGCAAAAACAACTTTTGGATGCCAGGGTGCTACTTTAACAGATGAAACATTATGTATTCTTTGCCCTGAAAAATCTTAAAAGAACTTTTTGTTGCTTAGCTTCCTGTATTTTTTTTTGAGACGGAGTCTTGCTCTATCGCCCAGGCTGGAGTGCAGTGTCGGGATCTGGGCTCACTGCAAGCTCCGCCTCCCGGGTTCACGTCATTGTCCTGCCTCAACCTCCTGAGTAGCTGGGACTACAGGCGGCCGCCACCTCGCCTGGCTAGTTTTTTGTATTTTTTAGTAGAGATGGGATTTCACCGGGTTAGCCAAGATGGTCTTGATCTCCTGACCTCATGATCCGCCTGTCTTGGCCTCCCAAAGTGCTGAGATTACAGGCTTGAGCCACTGTGCCTGGCCTCCTGTATTTTTTTAAATTTAATAATTGTTGGAATTATTAAATGATGAATATAATAAAACACATATTGATGGAAAGTTGATATGAATTTACTCAACTTTGATTTTAAGGCACTTTGTTAATATAGATTTGGGGATTTTGATCATACCCACATGTAATTATAACTGCAGTTAATTTGTGGTTTATCTGCAATACTGAACAAATGCAATAGTATCAAATGAATAGAATACCGTGTATACAAAACTTGTCTGTTTAATTAGGAGCCAAATCTTTTGTAATACTGGCTCTGTCAAGGATATAATAATCTATGGATAATTGCATCAATTTATTCATTTTTTTCATTCATTCATTCATTCTAGCTTTTAAGCAGGATTTGTTTAGCATCTACCATTGCTAGGCCCTGTACTAGGTGGTGGTCATATAATATGAACAAGCACACCACAAATTTCGCCCCTGTCCTCAAGGGTCAGTAAAATTAAACTTATGGCAAGTTGACATGATATGACAAGCATCTGTAAAGTAGGGTGGTGTAGGCAGGAGTCCTGGGACAGCATAGCTGAGTTCTGAAAGTAGGTGTTTAACAAAGCCGAGAGAAGAGGAAAGCTCCTGACTAAGGCTCTGTGCTAGGAGAGTACCTGGAGGGTGGGTGCCTGGGATTGAGAGGAGTATGGCTGGAGTGTCAAGGGGGAGAGGGAAGGAGTATGTCTTAGGCTTGGATACATCTGGAAGGCCAGCTATTGGAAGGTCTTGTTAAGGATAAAGGCCGATGTTCAAGATCAAGAGGGATGTAAAGCTGTTTCAGGATTGGGTTGGGATGGTGGTGGCCGTAGGATTATATGTGCTCTTCAAAACTAATACTCTCATTGCAGGGAGGAGCAAGGGTTATAGAGGACAGGAAAGGATGGTAGGAGATAATTACAGACTTGCATTCATGTGCTGTGGCAGAGACAATGCTAATGGGATAGATTCGCTGCCTAGAAGGGCAATTCAATTGTCGGATTGAAGGTGGACTACATGTGAAAGAGAGGTTCAAGTATGACATACACCTTTTAGCTTAAATAGTGGGATGGAGGGTGAGGCCATTCACTAGCATCTTGATTTCTGGGGAAAGACGAGATCACAGGTCATAAAATGTCAGAAAACTTCCATCTTGCCTGCCAGCTCCATTCAGTTGGTAGTGGCTGCATAGGGCCGCAGATTGAGAAGGATCTTAAAGCTCATTGTAGAACCTTTGATGATCAACTATTTGACTTAAAAGTACTGAGAGTGGGTTGTGTTTCTCTATATCCCAAATTAGTTCTTACTCTGAAATTAATATATATGTAGCTGAAAAGTTGCCGGTAGAGAGAATGTTTCTGTAACTGCTCTTGTTAGTGAGTGTCACCTATGCACTTGGTACTGTTCTAAGTGTACACTTTATGCCATTTAGTCCTTGCATGTAGACTAGCATTTAGAATAATATAGGTTGTTATTGGACCCTATTCTGTTCAAGAAGAATTTATATAGTTTGGGCCTAACAGGTCTTTTTATACTGGGTTGTTAATCTGAAATGAGGTGAATTCCTGGTGTATAGGGACCCTGAGGAGAACATTGTGTCATACCCCCTAATATTCTAAATTACTGTTAATGAATAATTAAAAGTCAGTTTACATTTCACTCAGCATAGTTATCTCTCATTTATGTGTGTTATGTGTGTTTGTAATTATTGGTTTGCAGTTCATATTTTATGTAAATAGATTGTAGCAGAAGCTCAGAGGAGGAAATGCCATATGGGATTACAGTTAATGGTGACCCAAGTCTGCCTCCCATTTTCTGTATATCTATCTTACAGTGCCAAAGACCTTCCAAGTAATTGAATCTTTCCTTTCTATGATTGAATTCCGAAGGGGATTTCTATAATTCTGTTTTATTCCCTATTAAAACCATAAAATTAAGTAGTTTTGGCAGTACTGTAACTTACCAAAATTTCTTTTGGAGCAAATTATATGTGAACACTCATAAGAGCTAAGGAGAAAAACATGCTTTTCTGACTTGCTAATTAGTGTTAATTTGTATATACTCTCTCTTTGTATATATGCTTAAAAAATAAAGGAGACACGACTGTTTCTGGAAGACTACATAGTTATAGTAGGCTGCTAGATAAAGTTTCTAGAGGCAAAAATCCCTGCTGTTTACTTTTGAAAATGTTGGAATACAATTACTAATCAAAAAACTACCAAGGAAATTCTTAAATACTCAGGGGTTAATTCAATTGTGATTTTCCTTTTTTATAGAATTCATGGCAGATAGAGCTCATAGTTTTATTCAGAATGAATGTGATAAAATATTTAAAGCATAACAACTATATTGTAGATCAGAATGCCAAAATCATTAATATATTGTAATAACAAATTGTTTTTATTTTTTGTGGAATTAAAAAAGTATGAAATTTATGAAAAAGATGAATAGCATTTTCTAATTATTAAAATTTAGATTGGTGTAACTATACATATAGAACTGTTAGAAAATCATATTGAGGTTTAATTAAAAAGACTAGAGTATTATTTTTGTTTGAAAGATTATGAGTTTTTTTTAAAGTAAATGATATGGTTTGGCTGTGTCATGAATCAAATCTCATCTTGCATTGTAGTTCCCGTAATCCTTATGGTTTTATATGGGGATTTTTTCCCCCACTTCGCTCTGCACTTCTCCTTGCTGCTGCCTTGTGAAGAAGGACATATTTGCTTCTCCTTCCACCGTGATTGTTAAGTTTCCTGAGGCCTCCATAGCCATGCGGAACTGTGAGTCAATGAAACATCTTTCCTTTATAAATTACCCAGTCTCGGGTACGTCTTCATTGGCAGCATCAGAATGGACTAATACAGTAAACCTTAAAAAATTGTTTTCTCTTGAATGAATCAGAAGATTGGAAAACAAATTTTGAAGGATAAATGTCAATTTAGAAGATGCTATTGGATGATCTTTTATCATTATGAGGAAAGGTAAATTAATCATATTCTGATATAGTAAAATAGATTGTTGTTATGTCAGTTGAATGTGTGTGGCACAAATCATGGTTGGGAACTCAGGCTCCTCAGGCAGGTAACATGGGTTCAAAATCTGCCACTGTTATTTACCAGCTACATGATTTTATGCAAATTACTTAAACTATCCCTCAGTTTTCCTTTGTATGAAATGCGGATACTGGTAATGTGCATCTGATAGGATGACATAATATTTCTTAATCCATAACTTGATAACTGTTAAAAACATGTTTATGAACATGGCTTTTTACAGTGGGCCAGAAGGGGAGCTACAATAATAGCAAAGGTAGTTTGTCACAAATGTGGAAGCTCGACTGTTAGGCTTGATCCTATCACTACTTTAAACAAGTCTCTCAACTTTCAACACTTCTGTTTTCCTGTATCTGAAATAGATGTAGTAAGATCATTCTTTTCTATAGCACGTGGTTTTTGATAGGCTCAAATAATGTGAAATACAAAACCACTTACTTTATGCGAAGTACCTAAAGTCCTCTCTGCCTTCAAAAAGAGTGCCAGTGAGTAGGTACTTATTGAACAAAGAAAGCAGTTTTTGTTTCTGCCTATATGTGTATAAATGATTATTCATTGAAATTGTTTTATAAATACTAAGATTAAAAAGGGGCCATGCTCGACACTGAAGAATAATACACTGTAATTCTTAATCTGTTTTAATTACCATAAAGAATATTTACATACCGTTAGGCAACCAGTTAGAATACTGTGGCTTTATATTTTAGAAGGTACTTTTTAGAAACATTTCCTCTGCTATTCTCACAGTAGCACTATGAAGTAGATATTATAACGATTTGTCTTTTATGCAAGGGAAAACTTAGCCAGAAAAAAATTTAAAAACCGTATAAATAATTCAATGTGAATGTAAGGAATTGAGGATCAGACCCAGGTCATCTGGAAACAAATTCTATCACCTAAGATTCCACATACAGAAAATTTACCAAAATAATGTTTATTTACCCATTTTATCTATTGAAAAGGTAACACTAATTCCAGAGAAATTTTCCAAGTTTTTTATGAGATTATTTGCAACATCCTATTAAATTGTGAGTTGATTTTTAAAAATTTTTATGAAAAGTCCTTAACATATTTCAAAGAACATGCTTATATACACAGACACACACACACAGACATGCACACAAACACACAGACACGCACACAGACGTGCACACAAACACAAACTCCCATTCTGAGTTAATCCGTCTTCATGTCTTGACATATTTGCTTTAGAAAATGCTTTCAAGAAGTTCAAGTTTATAGGTGCACTTGAAAATGCTTTGGACCTCTTTCCAGTCTCATTAAACTGTTTGTGTATCCTTCCTGAATCCAAAAAACAATGCAATAATCGATTTTTAAATCTTTTAAATTCAGTTAGAATTCTCTAGAGCAAGAAACCCAAAGACTTCTCTTAAAATTGTTTATGACAGCTAGTAATAAAATATCTTCAAATCATTGATTGACTAGATTTTTGGTTTTGTTTTTGAATTACTACATAGAGTTTCTAAAGGAAAAGATGCTAGAAGCTGTATAGTTTTCATACGTATGGATCTCTGAAGGAAAAGATGCTAGAAGCTGTGTAGTTTTCATACGTATGGACCTCTGAAGGGCCTGTTTTATATCTTTTGTATTTGAAAAAGGTGCTCAGAATACTGATGAAAAAGCAAAGCTTTTAGTCATTTAGATGGAATTTTTAATACATCTTAACAGGGGGTTTACTTCTCACTTATTTGTGTTTATTTCTTCTTCTTCTCCTCCTCCTCCCCCCTCCCCTTCTTCCTCTTCCTCCTCCTCCTCCTCCTCTTCTTCCTCTTCCTCTTCCTCTTCTTCTTCCTCTTCTTCTGCTTCTTCTGCTTCTTCTTCTTCTGCTTCTTCTGCTGCTGCTTCTTCTGCTTCTTCTGCTTCTGCTTCTTCTCCTTCTTCTCCTTCTCCTCCTCCTCCTCCTCCTCCTCCTCCTCCTCCTCCTCCTCCTCCTCTTCCTCCTTCCTTTTTTAATAAAGAGGAAGTGTCATTCATCTGTTGCCCAGGCTAGTTTTGAACTCCTGAGCTCAAGCAGTCTTTCCACCTCAGCCTCCCAAAGTGCTGCAATTACAGGCATGAGCCACTGCACCTGGCTGCTCTCAATTCTAATAGAAGAGTGACATGGGTAGAAACCATAAATAATAGGTAATCTAAAATATATTTGTTTTGACATTACATTATGTTTTATTGCTTTTTTTAATCCTTTGACTTCAGGTGTATTTAAACTAAATTTAAAATGAATTCTAAGGATGCTATTGGTCTTAAAATATAAGGAACTAATTGAACATATTTAAAGGAATTTATATATGAAATAATAGAGACATTTATGATACTGAGAAATTAGAAACAATTGTTAACTGGTACAACGCTTATGACACAACCTGTTACTGAGGCATAGTGCAGCAGTTAAGAACACACTGACAATGTGTACATAATGAACTGAGAAGATCGCCATGACATATCAGTCAGCTGGAAGAGCAGGTTATAAAATTGTGCCCTTAGGATCCAATTTTGTAAAGACAAGCTAGATACCACGTATGCCCAAATATGAGGTGACCCTAAATATAAAGATGAACTTGTGGCGGTTTTGCCACCAGTGGACATTGACGATATCTGAGGAAATTTTGGGCTGTTACATTGAGGGGTGCTACTGGCATCCAGTGGGCAGAAGTCAGGTAGGCTGCTGAGCATTCAAGTCATAGGACCACCTCAGTGACAAAGAACTGTCTGACCCAAAATGTCAGTAGTACTGTGGTTGAGAAATCCCAACGTAAGGTAATCCTTAAATAGCTGATTACTATTTTAAAAAGTGTGTGGCCCACATTGTGCATATTACATTTTAGGGATAAAGATGCAAAAGTCAACTATCTACTTATAGCAATTAATTTATAGGTGAATGAAAATCAACTACACAAATAAGATAGTAATTTATAAATGTTATTTTTGTCATTATCATGAAAGAATTTTATTCACACTTTTCACATATATCAGCCCCAGCACTGCCTGAAGTTGCTTGAGTTAGAGCACTCTAAATCCACTTACGTAACCTGAGAAGCCTGCTTTTTTCATTCTTCCCATAGGCGTATACTGAGGATCTTGTCAGTGTGAGCACAGTGTAACTTTCTAAAAGTGATCCTTAAAAAGCTTTACAAGAGTTAATATTTGTGGTTATGAGGTGTAACTATTATGAAATAATTACTAATTCTGTATGGAGGTTATTTCAGGTTAATGTGTCTCCTCAAACTACTTTCTCATTCAAAATGTGATAATTGAGAGAGCATTTGGTAATCTGGTAAAGTGAAGACAGGGATAGATGGAGTCTCCTTTTCAGAAGGATAGATTATTTATGGTGATGGAGGGAACTTGTCTTATTTTCAGACTTACAGAGTTCCACATAAGTGTGTTAGTGTGTGCACGTGTGTGTGTGTGTATGTGTGATCATGCAAAGGGAACATCCTTGATGGCAGTGTCATTTGAGAGATTTTCACTTTCTCTGTTTTCTGAAAAATGTACCAGGAGAATGTAGGTTTGTAATGAGCCTTACATTTATAATCAGAAGGAAACTCAATGTTTCTTTCCAGTTTAGACAAAAAAAAAAAAAAATTGTGGTTGCTCTCAGTTGACTCACCCTTGCAGGATTATAAAGTATTTCAGTATGAACTCCTGCTCTGGCCTATCCTATCTAGAAAAGGCAGTGTGTTTCTCATCTTTCCTCTCCTTAGATCTTCTCGACCTCTCATTCCCTCACATTCTCTCCACCACCAAACACAAGAACATAAATACAGTTTTGGGGTGTTTGGGACTTTGCTTTCTGAAACAGTTGTTGCACCCATGCTGTCCTTATGTGTGGGTAACCTCATCCTTCCTCTCACAGATGTGATAGGTCATCTTCACTGTAAGTTCCCTTAATTTTGTGCCTTTGTTGGGAAGACTCCGAGGGAATGGACAAAGATTATTGGACTATAGGAGAAGCCAATGGAAAAATATTAGGGGACAAAGGAAAGTTTTTCTCACTCTTGAGATCATACCTAGAGATATTTATATACTTTGTAGACTGCTAAAATCTCTCTGAGGTTTCAGCCATAGGCAGAGAGTTTTCAAACCCGCTTCAAAAGCATTGTGGAGGGTGTGCAGCAGTTGCAGCTCCTGTGGTCGGTCACACTGGAGAGGAAGTGTTCTCTTCACTCTTGTCTCCTAGCAACAGTTTCCAGCAGGGCAGGAGGATTGTTGGACCCACTTCTAAGGCAGTGTCTACTTCGGTATATATTGGTGTAAAATTCAGTTTAATGAATATGAAACTTTTTAAACGTAAACCTAAAGTCACTTTTAGCAATCTTAACAGTGATAAATGGTCGCTTGAGAGTCACGTATGTCCATGCTCTAAATTATAGCCTTGCCATCATTTCATCATTTCTGGTGCACTTTGCTGTCTAATTCCCAGGCAGAATGTTCAGATTTCTCTCTCTTCTTCAAAAATGTTAAAACCAATGACATACATTCACATATGTTAAAAAAATAAAGTAGTATAGAAAGACTTATATTCATGTACAAAAGTTTTCAGTGCACCACTTAATCCCCAGCCCTGCTTGGCTTAATTACTTACTTTACATGCACTTTACTGAAGGGCTGGCAGGTTCCAGTTCTTTCTGTATATGCTGTACATATGTGTATCATTAGTTCTCACATTATATGGATTTCTAAATGGCATGATTGAGACTCATAAAAGTTTAATACTTTAATAATAATGTGTAACTGAGAATTGGAACCCAAATCTCTCTGAGTCTACAAGTCTGTTCCTCAACTTTGATTAATGACATATACCTTTGACTTTCTACAATTAGCCAGATGCATGGTCATGTGGGGGAGATGGGCTTCAGTTTCCCTAAAGGCTCAGATGATCTGTACCATCCTGGTTTGTCAAGATGGCT